CGCTGTCGTGACTCAGGCTCCAGAACACGCTGTTTAGGGGAGGCTCCGCGTTCGCGCTGCGTTTGCCGACTTCCCGGCGAAACGGAGCTGCGTCCTGCCTGCTAGAACAGAAAGGGAACAAAAGCTGCCGCAAACCCCTCCAGCGTAGAGAAATGCCTTGGTAATTTTAGAAACAGGGCTGCTGCGGCAACAATGTGTTGCATGAGTAAGTGCTCACAGTGGAGGTGCAAACCCAACGCTTCAGCCCAACGGGACCAAGCTGATCTGTGCCTTGAGATGCAAGGGAGCTGCCTCGTGTGTGCAGGGGAAGACAGAAAGGAGAGGAGGTCGCGGGCAGGGACCTGAGCAGTCCGGGAGGCTCCCAGCACGGGTCCGTCTCCATACAATCTCATGGAATTCTGCTCGCTGCACGGGGGAAGGCGCGCGGGGCCTTGCGGAGGACACGTATTTATGTCTCGTCACTCCGTGCACTTCTGCAAAACTTCTGCAGGAGCCCAAAGCTTTTTTTACAGCCGTGTCTGGACAAGAGCAGTCGCTGGGATGGCCATTGGCACTACGTGAGCAGAGGAGCTTCCCTCGTGCTCTCACAAAGGACTGTGCGTTTTGGGGTGCAGGGCAGCAACCTGCCCGCAGCTCCCGGGGCTGCGCAGTGACTTGGCAAAGCAGGGACATGGTGCCAGCCAGGGAAGTGAGTCCCTTAGGAGCAGCCAGTGCCACTACATTGACCTGTGGTGAGATGGGAGATGAGCTCTGCTCTCCAGATTCCTACCTCTGCACTTGAACTCCCCCAGGGCTCCGCTCACTGCAGCTGAACAGCCTCTAACCAGGGTCTGCCCACTGCAGAACTGGCTACTGGCCAAGCTAGTGCCCCCTGCTCAGCCAAGGGCAAGGAAAATCGCAGCGTGGACCGGCCGCTGGTTTCCTCTGCAGCCTGATTCTGTGTTTCCCTCTGTTCTTGCGCTTGGATGAGGCAGAGGAGGATCCCACCAGGCAGCAGGTGGGGGCTGGGAGCACGGCCTGTAGGTTGCCTCTGGGAACCTGCCAGGTAGTTGCGGCTTGGTGGAGTATTTGCTAAACTAACCACATCCAGGGGAAACGGAGGCTTTGCCGCGAGCCCCTGCTGCGGTCAGGGCTGCGCGTGCGCTGGCTGCAGCGCG